CCAGTTTCAGCGTATGTGGCTGGCACCCTAGCTGCTGAGCTACAGGCACCGAGCCCATCCTGTCTTTTTTATTTCTCACATAGTCCATTGTTTTTATCTGGGGGCAATTGTGCCTTCCTGTGTACATTTGGCTATGTCACATGGTGGGTATTCTAACACTGGTGAGTGGACGCTAGAGATGGGCTAAACATCCCTCAAGGCAAAGTACAATTCTCCACAGCAAATAGTTATCCTTCCCAAAATAACAGTGTAGTCCTGAGGCTGAGAAACCCTGGTGTATTACAAATACTCTTTGTGTTTGTAATACAAAGAGTATTCTAGGTGTCTACACCTAGACTCTTTACTTGTCATCTCTCCATGGTAATTTGTACCATAGATAGCTACAAAATTAATTTTCACAAGCTGTTACACCAAACCTGTCATCTCCCTGCTTAAAATCTGTCTGTGTCCCAAAGCTGAAAATGCTGGCACAGATGTAGAGAGAAGGGATCACTTTTACACTGTTGGTGAGACTGCAAACTAATATAGCCTCATTGGAAAGAAGTATGGAGAATCTTCAAAGAACTCAAAATAAACCTTCCATTTGATCCCGCAATTCCATTACTAGGCAGAAGAAAAATATATAATTTTATCACAAGGGCATTTGCACTAGATTGTTTATAGAAGCTCAATTTACAATTTGGAACAACCCAAATGTCCATTAACCCATGAATGGATTAATAAACTGTGGTATACTAGTGGTATACTAGTGGTATACTGTGGTTTACTGTGGAATACTAGCCAGCCACAAAAATGATGGAGACTTTCCATCTTTTGTGTTAACCTGGATCAAGTCAAAATACATTTTTCTTAGTAAAGTATCACAACAATGGAAAAGCAAGAATCCAATGTACTCAATACTAATATGAAGCTAGTAGATGATCTAATACACACCCACATAAGAGAAAAACTCAATTAATTCAAGTTTGAGGGGGAAGCAGGAGAAAGAGGATTGGTGTGCTCCAACCTAATGGACACAATGTAAGGGTATATGGCACACCCTCTGGGTACGGGATACAACTATAACAGGGACTTTACCTAACAAATGGAAACATTGTTATTTAATTGTTTGTACACTCATATTAATCTGAAATTAAAAAAATAATAAATGAATAAGTAAAATTCCCCAAGAGAATCTAATGAAAAAAAAAATGTTTTTGGTAGAGATGAGATCTCACTATGTTGCCCGGGCTAGTGTTGAACTCCTGGGCTCAAGTGATCCTCTTACCTCAGCCTCTGAAGTAGCTGGACTACAGGTGCAAGCCACTGCACATAGCTCTTATCTGTAATTCTCACTTCAGCAATGAGAAAATTGGCTCCACCATCCTGCATCCATTATGGTTTAATTCCCCATACATTATTAACCCTTGGGAAGCAACTTTATTAACCAGAGTACTGGGCTACATGCAATTCTTGTTGTCACTAGTCTTACAGACTCCACTCCTTTCAAAAGTTTTTCCCACACCCTTTGCTGAGATTGTTTTGTACATTTGTTGTACAATTAGATTCTCTTGTCATAGTCTCCATTCTTTCCTGAGATCCTTTATTTCCCAAATGATTTTTAAAATTTGTGTGCATTAAGGCCAGGTACTGTGGCTCACACCCATAATCCTAACTCTCTGGGAGGCCCAGGGGAGTGGATTGCTTGAGCTCAGGAGTTCAAGACCAGCCTGAGCAAGATCAAGACGCTGTCTCTACTAAAAATAGAAAAACCAGCTGGGCATCAGAGTAAGTGCCTGTAGTCCCAGCTACTTAGGAGGCTAAGGCAAGAGGATCCCTTAAGATCAAGAATTTGAGGTTGCTGTGAGCTATGAGCACTCTACCCTGGGCAACAGAGTGAGACTGTGACTCCAAAAAATTTTGTGTGTGTGTCTATACTAATGTTCACTCTTTGTGTTGTAAAGTTCTATGGATTTTAACAAATGTGTGATGTCAGGTATCCACCATGTATCATACCAAAGAGTTTTACTACCCTAAGTGTCCCCTATATTTTACTTATTCAATCCCTTTCTCCTCCCCCCAAGACATCTAACACCCACTGATTTTTTTTACTGTCTCCATAGTTTAGCCTTTTTCAGAATGTCGTATAATTGGAGCCATACATTATGTAGCCTTTTCAGATTGGCTTCTTCGGACTATATGTTTGCAGAGTTTCATGCATGTGCATACCTCTTTGTGGCTTGATAGGTAATTCCCTTTACCTCTGAGTACTAGACAATTGTATAAATGTCCCAGTTTGTCCTTTCATTTACTGAAGGATATCTTGGTTGCTTCTAATTTGGGGAGAATAAAGCTTCTAAAATCATTGATGTGTTGGCTTAGAACCTATAGCTCAAGTGGCTAAAGCGCCAGCCACATACACCAGAGCTGACAGATTCAAATCCAGCCCTGGCAACAACAATGACAACTACAACCAAAAAATAGCTGGGTCTCGTGGTGGGCACCTGTAGTCCTAGCTACTTGGGAAGCTGAGGCAAGAGAATCACTTAAGCCCAGGAGTTGGAAGTGGCTGTGAAAAAAATTAATTAATTAATTAATTAAAATAAAAACATTGATGTGGAACAAACTACATGAGGGATCTTACCTAACAAATGCAAACATTGTAAGCTAATCATTTGTACCCTCACATTAATCTCAAATATAAATAAATAAAAACATTAATGTTCAGGTCTGACCTTTTATCATTATTTCAGTTCTTCATTTCTTTTTTTTTTTTTTTTGAGACAGCGCCTCAAGCTGTCCCTCTGTGTAGAGAGAGTGCCATAGCATCACAGCTCACAGCAACCTCCAACTCCTGGGCTTAAGCAATTCTCTTCCATCAGCCTCCCAAATAGCTGGGACTACAGGCGTCCACCACAATGCCTGGCCATATTTTGGTTGTATTGTCATTGTTCTTTGGCAGGCCTGGGCTAGATTTGAAGCCCCCAACTCAGGTGTATGTGGCTGGCGCCTTAGCTGCTTGAGCTACAGGTGCCAAGCTCAATCTTCATTTCAAAGATAATATTCAAAAACAATAAACATAGCTATGCCTGGTGACTCACATTTGTAGAAAAATTAGCTGGGCATTGTGGCAGGCTCCTGTAGCCCCAGCTACTTAAGAGGCTAAAGCAAGCAGATTGCTTGAGCCCAGGAATTTGAGGTTGCTGTGAGCTGTGATAATGCCAGGGCGTTCTACCTAGGGAAAAAAGTGAGACGCTGTCTCAGTTAACAAATAAATAAGTGGAGGAGTGCATCCTGAAAATCAAAATTAAAATGGTATGTTACACTGTAATTATCTTTTTTTTTCTTTTTTTTGAGATGGAGTCTCAAGCTGACACCCTGGGTAGAGTGCTGTGGCATCATAGCTCACAGAAACCTCCAACTCTTGGTCTCAAACAATCCTCTTGCCTCAGTTTTTCTATTTTTAATAGAGACGGGGGTCTCGATTTTTGCTTAGGCTGGGCTCGAACTCGTTAGCTCAAGCAATCCACCTGCCTCGGCCTCCCAGAGTGCTAGGATTACAGGCGTGAGCCACTGTCCTGGAAGAATTATCCATTTTTAAGTAATGAAAAGCATAATAATACATTGATTTTATTACTTAACTAGTAATAATGCATTCTAATGTGTAGCTGCAATGATAAGTTATTATCGTGAATTAAGGAATAACATAAAAATGACCAGTTGAGGCTCGGCACCTGTGGCTCAAGTGGCTAAGGCACCAGCCACATACACCTAAGGTGGCGGGTTCAAATCCAGCCCGGGCCCACCAAAAACAACAGTGACAGCTGCAACCAAAAAATAGCCAGGCATTGTGGCGGGTGCCTGTGGTCCCAGCTACTTGGGAGGTGGAGGCAGGAGACTTGCTTGAACCCAGGAGTTGGAGGTTGCTGTGAGCTGTGATGCCATGGCACTCTACCCAGGGGGACAGCTTGAGGCTCTGTCTCAAAAAAAAAAAAAATGACCAGTTGAAGTGGTTCACATCTATAATCCTAGGGAGGCCAAGTCAGGAGGATCCTTTGAGTTCAGGAGTTTGAGACCAGCCTAAACAGGAGGGAAGCCCCGTATCTACTAAAAATAGAAAGAAATTAACCGGGCTTGGTGGCATATGCCTGTAGGCCCAGCTGCTCAGAAGGCTGAGGCAAGAGGATTACTTGAGGCTAGAAATTTGTGGTTGCTCTGAGCTAGGATGCTATGGTACTCTAGCAAGGGCAACATAATGAGACTATATCTCAAGGAAAAAAAAATGACAGAAAAAGAAAAAAGGAATTACACTATACTGAATGTGCATACTGACTTCATTTCACATCACCAATTCAGTGAGCACTGTGGGGCGTAGATTTCCTGGGAGATAATCTTATGTCAGGACAGCTAGCAATAACCTAATTAACTCTTACCTCTGGCCAAAGCACTTACCATAGAACAAGAAGTTCATGGGGTCAAATGGCCATTCCCTACTAGAGCCCACATCTGCCTTATAGACTGCACACTCTGGGCACCCAAAACGCCAGAATTTCCTCCTCATTTTCAGGCTTGGGTGGGCTACTTTGTTTTGGAATGGGTGAGCAGCATTGCTGGTATATGTACCCACAGCTCAAGGTGTGGTCAACAAGTAGTTGTTTGGGTGGCATCTGTGGCTCAGAGGAGTAGGGCGCTGGCCCCATATGCCAGAGGTGGCAGGTTATGCCAACCCTGGCCAAAAACTGCAAAAAAAAACCCCAAGCAGTTGTTTGCGGAGGTATGTGAACAGACCTTGGTCATGCAGCCTAGAGTGTCCACATGTGTAATTGTGAAGTCCTCAGAGTGTGGGATGGAACTGGGAATGGAAAGAGATGGGTGAGCTAAGGGACTGCTTTATGTGCCACCATATTCTGGTAAGGAACACCAAAGAATCTGAGAACTCCAAATTCAGACCTGGTCTCTTTGTCATGGTAGGTGATAGAATGTATTTTACTGAACAGTTTGTTAGCTTTCTTGAAGATTTTTAAATATTCAGACATTATGGCAAATAGGCTTTGATTTGTACTTTTGCCCTAGACTGAATTTATTTGAGCATAAGGATATTCCTCTTATTATTCAAGGAGTTATATATACACCTTGATTGATATTAGAACTATTTAGACTTCTGGGGGATGCTTTAACCTAGGTGCAAGCTCAACCCTGGCCATAACTACACAGGGCTATTGAGCAGTGGGCTATTAATTCTAAATGACTTCTTCCCCTCAGCACCTCCCAAGAGGTGCTGCATGAGTATTTCATAATAGCTGCTTCGTATTCACAATAATGAAGATGTGGAAAACATTGGCTAACCCCTAAGATCACGGTACAGATGCCCAGACTTTCTTGTGTGGGAAATTCAGGCTTATTCTCTGAAAGTGGTTCGGCGGTGTACCCAGAGACAAGACCAGGAAAGGTTCAGGCCAAGTTTAATGAAAGGAGACGGGGACTCACCTGGGCAAAGAAAGCGGCTGCATCAAGAATGGTTTGGGGCTTGTTATTATACTGGGTATAAGGGAGGAAGATTCCACAGATTTTTGGAAGTTTTTAGAGAGGCTAGGGTCTCTCCTGTGGAACTCTTGGGGCGGGACCAGGTAGGTCTTTTGTTCTGGGAGGGGAGGAGGGGGAAGAGTTTAGGCTCCTATCATTTTCCATATCAAGCTAGGGTCAAGGAAGGCAGGTCTTGAACTTACAGGTTTCATTTTCTTTCTTAACACAGTAGTTAAGAAAGCTATTCAGACAAACTGGCCCAAAAGACCTTCACCTTGGGTCTGTCTCATATGAGACACGTGTTTAGCAAATATACTTATATTTTAATATTTCTCTGCAGCCTGTGATGCCCTGCACACCAAATCCCTGGTTACAAAGTACACTCTCAGGCCTAGACACAAGAAAGAAAAGTCATTTGCCAGTTGTCAAAGATCTACGCACCTCCCTGGAGAAAAAGATTGCTATGGGACCATTTGCATCTCACCAGCCAGCTCTCTAGCTGGGTAAATACTCAGAAGATATTTTTTCCAGCATCATGTCTCCTCCCTCCCTAGGTGTTCATCTCTAGGTTGACCATTTCTCTTGTTCTTAAGACACAAGGAGCAGAGGACCTGGTCACATTCTGTCTCTTTAATTGATATTGTACAATCTTGTCGCAATATTTATTAAAAAAAAAATGTAACAGTAGACTTGATCTTTTAATGTATACCATTTACATAGAAGGTTTAAAAAAATGATATCACATTAGATGATAGGCCATGTTTTTCCATACCCCAGAAAAATTATGTGCTAAATGTGGATCAGAGCTCCAAATCTTTTTTTTTTTTTTTTTTTAATAAGGAATGCTTCACAAATCTTTGTGTGGAGACCATGCTAATCTTCTTTGGATCATTCCAATTTTAGTATATGTGCTGCCAAAGCAAGCACCAAAGCTTGAAATCTTACTGCAGTAGAAATATTGACAGACCCAGCATCTTTCACAAGCTGTAGGAATTGCCCTCTGAAACCCAAACTAGAATCCCGTTTGCCTAGAAAAGAAACCACTCAGGTGACTTTTTTTCTATTCACAAGTCTAGCCTTATTCTAGAGCAGGTGTTTCTTTCTTTTTTTTTTTTTTCAAAATCAATAGTTATTTTTAATGTTAAATTCATAGAGCAGGTGTTTCTTAACTATAACCCACACCTTGACATGGAAGCCGTGTCACAGAACTATTACAAAAAATCAAAGCCAGCACTTTTATTTTTCCCTTCATATCACATGGGTTGGGGTGATAGAATTTAGATCCCTGGAACATACTTAATACTTAAAAGATTTAGGCATCATGGAACAGCTGCAAACTGAATCTGTACCATAAAATGGGATTCTGTAAGGGCATGTGATACCCAAAAAGGTGCCGTGGAAAAGGAGACACCCAGAGTTCTAAGCAGAGCAAATCCAGCTGCCTTTCCTAAAAACTGCTGTTTATAGCCTAAAAAACTTTGAGACATTTGATAATGAAAATAATGGGAACATGAACCTCTCCCATTTTTTCTTCCTCTACTCACATCCTCTCTTCTCTTCTGATAGCATTGCTGTTGTCAAAAAAAGAAAAAGCAATATTTTCTCCTGTAAATTTCTACCAGCTATGAAACACAGGAGGGAAAAGAACTTTAGGGAAATGAGTTAACTGTATTAACAAAAAACACGTCCCTTTCCTTGACTCATGTAACCCATGTTTAAAGTTATTACTTTACATATTCTATCCAAGTGAAATACTAATCTAAAAAGCACTATCAAATAGATCAAAGTTGTTTCTGCAGCTAACCTGAGGATTCTGGGATCTGGCAACTATGAGGCATTCGAGACAATGAACAATTTTGTTTGAGTAGTTTTCTGGCCCCCCCATCTTTGAATTTGTCATTTCACAGTGAAAGGACTTTATTGTACACTCTTTGCTTTGCTGGCAAAAGCAAGAGGGCTGAACTGAACTCTTTGGTTCAGCCAGCCAGCAAGGCCATACAGAGGGTCTATTAGGCCATCAGCAACTGTGGGAGACGGAGCAGCAGCAGAAGAAATGGCCCTTGTCCTCGAAGAGTTTACAAGGGGGTTTATAAGACACACACACAAGAACCTTTCAAAGACAATATGTTTAGTCTAGTGGGAATTGTGTGGCACTCAGCAGATGTGCTATAGGAGGTCAGGAAGAGGGAGGGCAGGAGTCGTTATGGAGACATGGGAATTTGCCTTGGATCTGAGATGGCTCAAGACTTAGACAAGCAGAGGGAATGGGGGCTGGGCTCAGTGGCTCATGCCTGTAATCCTAGCACTCTGGGAGGCTAAGCTGGGTGGATTCTTGAGCACATGAGTTCAAGACCAGCCTGAATAAGAGCGAGACCTTGTCTCTAAAAAGTAGAGCATTGTGATGGGCACCTATAGTCCCAGGTACTTGGGAGGGTGAAGCAAGAGGATCAAGAGTTTGAGGTTGCTATAAGCTATGATACCATGACACTCTACTGAGGGTGACAAAGTGAGACTCTGTAAAAAAAAAAAGAGGAGAGAGAAGGAAGGAAGGAGAAAGAGAAAGAGAGAGAGAGGGGAAGGAATGGGGAGAACCTTCCAAGTAAGGGAAAGGACAATTGATAAGGCTAGAGAAAGGAGTGAGCTTGGCAGAGTTTCTTGACAGCTCTTTCCCCCTTCCTGCTTTCAAAGTAGTTCATTTGTGCCTGGGCACAGTGGTCACACTTGTAATTTTAGCACCCTGGGAGGCTTAGGTGGCTGGATTGCTTGAGCTCAGGAGCTTGAGACCAGCGGAATGAGACCTCCGCTCTAGTGAAAATAGAAAAATTAGCTGGGCATTGTGGTGGGTGCCTGTAGTCCCAGCTACTCAGGGGGCTGAGGCAGAAGGATGGCTTGAGCTCAGGAGTATGAGGTTGCTGTAATCTAGGCTGATGTCATGGCTCTCTAGCATAGGCAGCAGCAGAGTGAGACTCTGTCTAAAATAATAATAATAATAAAACTACACCCCAGACTTTGAGACCAAAATAGTTCATTTGTTTCTTCACAACAGAGAAGCAGGCCAGACTTCTCTTACCCTCATGCTTTTGCTAATCTGTTCACAGTAACAAATGTTTTAATGTTAAAATACTCCAGAAGTTCCCCAGATCCTTTATAAAGGGCCCTACTGTCCTTCCCAGCTGAAGCATTTGTATGTGATCCTCCATTGTGACGATGAATATCTCAGGTATCTCCTTTTCACTGCTCCTTTTGTCATGTTTTCTACCCCTTGCTTCTGCCACATTAACTCCACTGGCTGGTTAGACAGGTGACTGATTCCTCTCCTGCCACAGAAGGAAGCTTCTATTTGGCCCAGCATGTGGAAGAAAGTGCATGCTGACCTTCTCTTAGTCAGGGTCTAGAGAAATTTTCCATTTTCTTTTTTTTTTTTTTTTTTTT